AAATATATATTTTTTAAAAACAACTTATATTTAAAAGGCAAAAGATAAATCAATTCATAAAGTACACAAATCATAAAATCAACTTTTAATGTTTGAATTATTTGGTCTGCCAGATTTGATGCAGACTACATGTGAAATGACATGAAGTTTAAGAACCCACCCACCATTTCCACTTTTTTTTTTCCTCAATGTGACAATATTTGAACCTTACTGTGGGAGGGGTCTGGGATTATGAGGAGTGACAGGTCAACCTAAGTATTCTGTTGCAAAATAATTTAGCTGAAAAACTGGTCACTTGTAATGACAGCAGCAGCTGGGAGGGATCAGGGAGTGTGCTGGCAGCAGGAATATTACTCATCAAACAAATAAAAACTTCCCCGCCTTCCGTGCTGAGATTTAGCACACCTTAAGACTTCATGCTAAAGGTCCCCTTCAGAAGTTCCCATGACCCATAGGGAAATGTTACCATGGTAACGAGTCACTCTCCTGCTAGCTCTAGTAACAGGATTTCCCAGAAAGATACACACATACATATTTTCAAAAGTCCAACAAATAATTGCAATGTAAAATTAGACAATTAAGCTGGATTGAAATTTCTGCAATTTGGGAACTGCATGAAAGCAAAACTTACCCAAATTTTAAGAATAAGTCACAGTGTGGATACTGTACTTCTGATATCAGTTAATACTATACATTAAACTTCTAACAGAATCGATGTGCCCTTTCTTGTATTTAGAAAAATGTGCTATTAAAATGCTAAATCTTTTTCAACACAATGCGCCTCTGTTACAAAACCAAATCACAGCACGTCTTTCCTGTAACTAACAAAAGTTTTGTTTCCTAGGCTCTGATAATCGCCTCCCCAAAATAAAGTTACCAAGTCATGTGTTTCTTCCCTAAAATCCTGGGACAAGCTCCTGAACACTAGGACTGCCCCTGCCTAATCCTAACAGAGCCCGCAAACCCGCAGCCTAGCCGAGCCCCCGAAACCCGCACCAGACAGCGATACGCCCTAACCGGGGCCTCCCGAACCCACGCGGCCCGGCCAGCGGGTCAGTCCCGGACTCCCCAAGGTGCGGACCAGCCGAGGGGGTGGTGACCGCAGGGAGAGAGCATCCCCCCACGCCCCCTTCATTCCTG